CCCTCGACCAGTGATCCGCTCAACCGACGTATCCAGGAGACAGGCTACGGCAAGGCGGGGGAAGCCAGACAAACACTGATACACTAGGTGCAGACAGTCGAAACTCAGAGCAGAGCGCGAGGGACGGTTACCAGGCGGCTGGTACGGCGAGCCGTTACCACCTAGAGACGCGGGCTATGCAGAGCGGCCCAAACTGGTTTGGCAGACTACGTCCGCGGACGAAAGGAGCGGCATATAACGAGACCAGGAGCCAGAGTCTTTTCACTCTCTGAAGATGGATAAATAAGATAACTATCGGAAAGGTCAGATCACAAATAAACCTCTCCCGGTGAACGGTCTTTCTCCTGCTTATCCTTTCTAGTGCTTGTTGGTGACAGTAATTTTTCAGAAGAGAAAACTGCAGCTCGTGGAATGCTATCATTTGAATGTTAAGTTGACTGTGAAACCCACAGCCAATGTGATACGAGCCGTAGTCAAAAGTAGTAGAAATACCTGTCATAATCTCTGCTTAAATGGCAAAATTAAGTTGGGAATGGGGAAGAGGAGGTTGTGTATTCCGGGTCAGGCTGCGGAAGAGAAAATAAAACTAGTAATACTGCCAAAAGAAAACAGAATGAGGATTGGCATTTCGACCGTTAAAAAATACGAAAAAAGAAGTGTAAATTTACGATGCTTACTTTACCAGACTGAGCGTTAACCACCAAAGTATTAAAACAAGATATTTCGATTTGGGGATGTTGCCTTTACCAAGGCTAGGTAAGTGGTGGACACCGTTGAAGTCAAGGGGCATCCATTGATGGTGTAAGTGTAGAGGAATCTGTATAGGTTTATAACTAAACCATAATAAAAGGTGACATTTTAGGGGTATATATATATACGGACGATTCCTGACATTCTTTTGAAAGGATGCGCGACCTCACTGTTCACGTCTGTTCTTGACACACCTCCAACGTCCCCAGTTTGCATTTTACCGACAATTCGCAGCTTACCTTGGGTACTGTTCC